CCTGGCTGAAGTCGGACGCCCCACCGACTGCGCCACCCAGGCGCTCCTGACCTCTTCATTTCTAAGCCAGGAACACCACCACCACCAAATTATGGGCTGAAGCAGAGCTTGAACCCCGTGTCTTATGTAAACACCAGTGAGCAGTGTGGGGCATGGGCTCCCCCGCAATCCCCCGCCCCCACCCAGACTAATGTCTCCAGTCAAGCATGTTAGAAGACCGTCTTTGGTAGTGTGCAAATCACCAGAATCTTCCTTTGCCTTACTCAAGCAACAGTTCATAGCGGTTTATGTTTTCTTGCAAGAAACACAGTTTTCTTTATTGTGCCTTTATAGAACGCTATTGCTCAACTGTGTTAATGCAGCTCTTGGACACTCAGAGAACATCTGGCTGTCCTCCAGACCCCACCTGGCCCAGGGACACTGCACTGAGCTATCTGCCCAGATCCCTGCTGACCCTGACTCCACGGCCCCTGCCAAGTGCATCATTTTTGCTTACCGCCTCCTCCTGGCTGGCACACAGGAGCTCCGTAGGCTTTCCCTGAGGAAGGAGGCCCCAGGGCTCCTCTGCTCGCGATCCCCCCACGGCCGTTGGCCTCTCCTGTTGCCAGCTTGCCTTCCCTCCCTCGTGGAGTTCAGCCAGAGTACAAATCCTTTACTCGGGTTCACACCCCAGTGTTTGACTCCCTGACATCTATGATAACGCATTTGTACGAAGAGGGTCTACCAGTTTCAGAGCCTGTCCCGCGGTGGTGAGCGGAGTCACTGGAAGGGAATCTTTCTCTTGCCCGCGGCTGCGAGGCGGCCTGCCGGAGCCACAGCAGGACACGGTCACCAGGGAAGCTTGCATTTGCTCTCTCAGGTGTGGTGCGCTACCCGCGCATCAGGAAGAACGGCACCCAGGATGAGGGCACTGATGAGGAGGGCAGTCTGCAGAAGGAGCAGGAGAGCGCCATCGACAAACACAATCTGGAGCGCAAGTGTGCCCTGATGGAGTACACCACGTGCGTCCCCACCCCCCCCCCACCCCGCCCCCAAGTGCAGTCCCACAGGCTCCAGCTCCTGGGTGTCCGGCCACACAGGTCAGGCCGGGAGCGCCCACGTCTCTGGTGCAGAGGCCGCAAATTGGCGGCCACGGGCCCCTCTGGCCCCGGCCAGCCCTTGGCCCACATACTGTTAAAACAGAACAAACTTGGTTGCCACAATTCAGAAGTTGGGAAATTTACATAAAATTCTGGGGTCGGACAAGCGTTTCCCTTCTGTCACGTGTTACCAAGAAGGTAAAAGGTAGTTAGGAAAAATACCTCCACCATGTCGCAGGCTCTCTTTTCAGTTCCCAAGAAGGTCTCTCTTTCCGTTTACTTCCCACCTCTCAGGGGGAGCCGTGAGGTCGTGGACGAAGGCTCGATCCCCGGGGACGGGCTGGGAGCCGCCGGGCTCGATTCTAGTTTCTACGGGCACCTAAAGCGTAACTGGATCTGGACCAGCTACATCATCAACAAGGCCAAGAAGGTGGGCTTCGGGGGGTACGGGGAACACGCGTCCCCGGGCCACTCCCCAGCCGCTGCCGCAGCTGCCCACCCCGCCTGCCCTTTCCCGGCTCGCTGTTTCTGATTTGGTAAAACCAAAGTTGACCAGAGGCACAAGTACTTACATCCGTATGTATTGAAGGCACATCAGGCCCTTTAAATACCTGCCTGGCCAGTGTTGTTGTTTGTTTTGTTTTTTGTTTTTTTCAATGGATTCTAACTGATTGTGTCACACGGACAGGTATTCCTTTTTAAAGAAGGAACAGAAAGTCCATGAGACACAGGTCATACATGAGGGAGCACGTGTGCAAGAAGCAAGTGGCTGGCCAGGGGAAGCCCAGCCCCAAGGGCAGCCCGACGGCTTCTGGAACGCAGCTGCACAGCCGCCCTCCCCTCACTGGCAGAGACCAGTACACCTCAGTGCATTTGACGCTCTGGGTCCCTGGGGATTCAGGGAAGCCCCTGCTTCTTTCCAGTGATGCGCTTGTCTTTTAGGAGAACACTGCATCTGAAAATGGGCTCATGGTGAGACTCCAGACGTTTCTGTCCAGGCGCCCGTTGCCACTCAGTGCTGGAGGTACGTGAGCTGGGGGTTCACCTTGGAAACAGGCACGGGACCGGCCCAGGCCACGTGACTACCTACCACACGTTCCATTCGGCTTCTGGCCTTCGCGGGGCTCATCCTGAAATGCTCACCTCCTGTGCTTATTTCCAGGCAGTGGCAGGTTGAATATCTGGGGGGAAGCCAGAGCAGGGTCTGAGCTCTGCACTGACAGGGAAGAGCAGTTCGAGATGGACCGAGAGCCCACACTGGACCGGAACTGGAGAGTGAGGGGTGGGAAAAGCCAGAAGCGGAAACGGCTGAAGAAAGACCCCGGAAAGAAGATCAAGAAAAAGAAAAAAGGTCCCGTGATGGTCGCTCGCGTCGGCTAGGCCTTGTCTTTGTACATTCCGGCTCAGAGACGGACTGCAGTCTCACTGCGGCCGGGGCTGAGCTCTGCCCCCAGACCCGGGCTTCTCTTCTCCCTCTGTTTGTAGGGCTGACTGTGCACGGTCGCCGTCTCGTCCTCCGCATCGAGCTGGCAGACTGAGAGATCCTCAAGCTTCTTACATGCTTCCTCTGTCTTTGTGTCTTATAGGGTCTTTCAGCTTTGTGACGCCCCTCAGTTCAATTTTCTAACTTCATCTCAACTGAAAAAACCTTAGCAAAAATCATTAGCAGAAATCCTCATCTCAACCAGCCAAAATCCTATTATTCTTTTGGTTTGGCTTTTGATACTTGCATTATATCAATCGGGGCAAAGTTAAAAAGTCACGTTGTGTCTTTAACTCAGAGGAAAGGTGGGAGTCGGTCAGGCCAGGCCTGCAGGATCTCTTCCAGTCTCGTGAGCCCCCTGGGTGTGTCTTAGACTGCTGTTTTGGATCCTTCCCCTGGGCAAGTATTCTAGCGAAGGACAGCAGGAGGACAGTGAAGAGACGGGCGCCTGTGTTTTCGTTCATTTTTACATCATCTAAGTGGTCTGTGTGTCGTAACAACGATCTGATAGCTATACCGTTTTCCGATGAGAACAGAATGTTTAAATGGGAACCTGTTTTCAGTGGTTTACTTGGCTGCTGTTTATAACAAATAGGCTTGTGTCCATTGGAAAGCCCCCCCCCCCCAACTTCAGCTCAGCCTATCCAGATAGGCATGGGGTCAGGTTGGCTCACAAAGACCTGAATTCATCACAAGGCAAAATCCGGTGGTGGTGTCCCGTGGAATCCCAAATGTTCTCACCCTACTTTTCTTCTGCCTTAATTTGGAAGAAACGTCCTAAACAAACAGTCTCTTGGAATTAGCAGTAGCATATGGTGTTTACCTTGTCAAACTGCCATGAGTCTATCCCGAGGGGAGGAGATGTTGAGAGAACCTGGTGGGTAAGAGCTCATGGTTCAGACCCTCTGTCTGCTACTGACTGGGCTGTGCGACTTTGGGCAAATTGCCGTGTCTCACCGTGTTTCAGAGTCCTCAGCTACAAAATGGGGATTATAACTGCCTCCTTATAGAGTTGATGCAAAGTAGCATTTTGATTATGGGTTGTTAATATGTAAACAGCTTAAACCAGTGTTTGGCATACAGTGAATACTCCATAATGTTGGTGACTGGCACCGCACGGGGTATTTTATACCCAGTCTGGTTCAGTCCTCACGGCAGCCCTGAAGGCTGCACCTTGTTGTCCCCATGGTGCCCCGGAGTGTGCCCAGCATCTCAGAGGTCGCCAAGCAGGAGAACGGTGGGGGCCCTGCACATGCTCCAGCCCTCAGAGTGCCTACCACCGCGGTGGGAGGGATGGGACATGGGCTGCGTTCAGGCTGCCCAGCTTGTCACAATGAAATTTGACCAGAGAGAAAGTGATAGGAGCGGTTAAAGTATCTGTCAAGGCCCGAGTCTTTTGCGGTTAGTTTCTATGGTTTCTGACACAACGGGATTCTGGTAGCTGATAGCCTTGGTCAGATCTCACTAGCCGAGTAGGGACCCTTCCCCTCCAGAGTGCCAGCTCCAGTCCGGCTGTTAGAAGCTCCCTCTCTTCTCCCCCTGATATTCTTAGAAGAGTCCCCCAAAGAGAAAAACAGGAGGCTGCGTTACCACGATGAGGCCGACCAGAGCGCGCTGCAGAGGATGACCCGGCTGCGCGTCACGTGGTCCATGCAGGAGGACGGGCTGCTCATGCTCTGCCGGATCGCCAGCAACGTCCTCAATGCCAAGGTACTCGGCCCCCCCCCGGGCCCCCAGGCCCCTGCCCCTCCCCGGCCTGCCGCCTCGCTTTCCCTCTCGTGGGGAGCTCTGTTCCCTATGTGGCCGCACACAGACACTCAAGGCCCCTGGGACGCTCAACCGCTTTGCTTGGCCACCAGGAAACGCGTTTCCCAGAATCCCACAGATGAATATTCCCGGCCTTGCTCATTTCTTTCCAGCCTTCGGCTAACACACATAGATCTTTGCCTGCCTGCAGGCTAAACAGCTCGGCGCTGTTCTTACTCTCTTCACCGGGAACCTAACGCTTTCTGCTCCCCTGCTCCCGCCCTCACCTGCCTGGAAAACTCCTGTTTTTCTTTCAAAACTGCTTATCATCTCTGGAGAGGCTTCATCGATCCTGCCAATTGGAAGTAATTACCACGTTCTTACCGTGTCCTTCGCACGTGGACTTTTCACGCTGCTTCTGTTGCTTCTGGCCCCTCTTGGCTTGTGGGAGTGGCTGCCGCTCAAGGCAGGGAGACCGCCCGTTTGTTTCGTAGCCACAGCCCCTAGCACGGTGCTCACCACACGGCAACCACTGGGTCGTTGTTCCCCGAATCCGTGTGGGATGGTGATGGTGGCCTCAGCCTGGCCCTCCGGCCTCGTCACAGCTCAGTCCCCGCCTTCCGTGCCACAGTCCCCCACACTCACGTCTTCTTCCCGGTCTGTGTCCTTGAACCCCGGCAGCTGGGGAGGGGCTTCCCATCGAGCAAATTCTTCCCCTTTCCTCTGATGTCACTGCCTCCAAGAAGGTTCCCCAGCCCGAGCCAGAGCTCCCCTTCTCACCATGTTCCCCAGAGTAGCCTCACCGACTCCTAGTCTGACTATTCCTGCCTCTTTGCCCTGCTCTGATCTTCTGAGTTTGCAGCAGGGCGTGGGGAGAGCCATCCAGGTAGGCGAACGTCCAGGCAGGCTGGTTCACAGAAGCCGCCAGAGGATGGACTGCCACCGTGTAGTCCAGGGCCCCCTCCAGGTAGTAACACCACCGGCCTCCCTGGTGCCCGGGTCGCGTGCCCTGTCCTCGGGCGCATCAGCCAAGAGAAGCCCCAGCGGAGGTCCCGTGCCCAGAATGCCCTCTGCATCAGGCCTGCTGGATCCCTCTTCTTGACCACTTCTCCGGATGCTCTCACCCCCCATTCCCTCCTAAATTCCAGCCCAGTTCTTCCTCCAGGGAACAACCTGGAGGTGACAGGCTGCCATCCCTGATCTCTGTTCCTTGCCTCTGTGATAGCGGAGAGATGTGCCTGCCTCCACCCACCCTCCTTGCAGCCGGTGGGACCAGGAGAGCCCTGCTTGGTTCTGGGGCAGCAGACCCTCCCCTCATCTGCTCAGATACACACCACATTCTTGGGCCACCTCATTCTGGGGGCTTTCGGAGAATAACCTCGTGATCAAGCCCCTTCCCTGTCTTGGTGCTCCTTTCCTGCGTGTTTTTGGCGGAGATGTTCTCTTGAGTCTCTGATGGTGAAGCTAATTCAGTGCTTCTGTTTCTACTAATGCACAGAATGTTTCTGAGAATACGCAATGTGCTCCTAAACCTCGAGAACCGCCCAGCTGACACATGTTTGTCATAACCTTCCCTAACATGCTGCCCTTCGAGACAGCATTACCCTGTGCCCTCCGAGTACCTGTTACTTGCTGGAACACTCTTCCCCACCGGTTGTTGAGGATTTGGCTTATTCTTCTCTGCCCAGCACCTCACTCATGCCAGGCGCACCGTCAGTGCTCCGTAAACGTGATCCAAGTAAACCCAGGAGGGGCCGGCTTTGAGTGTCTGCTGAGGAAGGAGGCGCCACAGAACATGCCTTCCCCCGTCCTTTACGATCGTGACCCATAACGCAGGCTCTGGGGATACTGATTTTCCTTCTTGGCTTGTGTGTGTTCCAGGTGAAGGGCCCATTTGTCCCCTGGCAAGTTGTGCGGGACATTTTGCACTCCACCTTTGAAGAGTCTCTGGATAAAACCTCCCATTCGGTCGGACGAAGAGCTCGCTACATAGTCCGAAACCCCCAAGCCTATCTGAACTATAAGTAAGCCGTGTTTGAACTTTCATAAGTTGGGGCCACAGTTACTCCCGTGCTTCTAGTTCGTTCTTTACTCTCCTTGCATCTCGTTTGTCCAAGAGTCCGCTCTAAAATCCAGAGAGAGTGGTGAGTGTGCAATAGCTCGCCTGTAGCCTGCCCGAGTGTTGGGGCCTGTGGGTGAAACCGCTTGTGAGTTTTCAAGGGCTCGGCCTGCCTCTGGGCCGTTTTCCGTATCCGGTGTCTTACACGCTTCAGGACAGCCTTGTGACGTACGTGCTGTTCTTCACTACCTGTGAGGACGCGGAGGCCAGTCAGGCTGGGCGCCTTACTGAATGCATCCCGCCAGCGGCGTGTGGTCAGGCAGAGGCGTCTGCTGAGTTTCACCACTGTCTTCAGCGCTCAGGGCGGTTCTAGATGTCAGGACCCATCACATAGCTCCCTCCAGGAAGAAGCGGGGCAGGACCGGAGTCATCGGACCCAAGAGCACTGTCCCCATTATGTCCTCAGCACGTCTTCGGCGTTCCCCTGGAGGGCCGGGTCCGCGTGGTGGTGGCGGCTGGCCGGGGGCCGCAAAGCATCCTCGTTGTGGCTTGTCGGTTGCCAGTGAGGCTGCCCACCCAGGCCTTCCTCCTACGGCCAGGGCACGGCGCTGTCGCCCGCCCTGTCAGCCCCCGCCACAGGCGTGGGCTCGAGTGGGGAGGACCAGCAGGCGTCCGGGCCGTGCGCGGG